ACTGAAGCTCCACACAACACAAAGAAGAGACTTGTTGACATGAGAACAAACTTTCCTCAAATTTGAAATTCAAATCTTTCATGTTTTACTAAAATATGTGGTACAGATTTGCCTGACTGGACTCCTCTACTCCCAATTTGTAGTGTCTGATTAGCCGTAGTCAAAATGTTTATTTGACTTAAGTGCATTTAACTTCAAAAGCAGAATAAACACTTGTGTTTTCTATTCAGTTGTACTCATACACAGAAGTTTTCTCTTTGGTTTGTGATGCTTTTTAATCCTTCCTGTTTAAAAGTTAAGTTAATCTCTAATATAACAACACCCAACCTGTGGACAGACTGTGTTACTAAACCACACACTCCACTTGGGCCATTTTATCTCACTCAGTTCATTGTCCTTGTTAAACCATGTTTAACTGAGTTCTCCTGTGAGTTTAACAAACTGCTGACTGTTTAAAACATATCACACAGCATCAAGCTCTGCTGTAAGATACATTATGACTGCAGCATTCATTCACATGATGATGTGTCACGCATTAGTCATGCTGACTGTCTGTTCTGATGGTGCGATGGTTTCTTATTTCCTCTCTTTTCATGACGCTTCTGCTCTCATTAAGTCACTTTTGTTTTGCAGAAACATTCCTGAGAATAATTAAGTATATAATCTTTATCTGTGTTGAATTTGTTACTTATGTGGTTGCAGTTTGTGACTCTGAGTTATAGGAAAACAGCAGACTGACACGTGAGAGCCACTGGGAACATTTCACACTTCTTGCAAACAGACTCTATTGTTTGCCCAATAAACAGAGAATAAATGAACTCAGACAAAATCAGGCGAGGACCAGATGACATGTATTGTTGGCTAAATAAAACAGAATGATGTGGGATAAAATTTCCACCCTGAGCTGTAAAAAAATATTTTACCAGCATCAAATTTCACTGTCTGAAGGATGTTTAGATCATTCTCATTGATCTCTCTCATCCTTTTGCTACTGCTGGAAAAAAAATAAACACTATTGACTCCAAAACACTTGTGATGCTCCTTTATTCAAACCTCTGTGGAGAGGGAGATCATGCAATGTAAAAAGCAGATCTGAGGGGCCGTGCCTCAGTCCTACACATATATACCTTTAGTCTCACCCTTCGGGGTGGGGGCTTCAAAACATGCTCTAAAACCCTGGGGATTCCCTTATATGGTAACCAAAGCAACGCATAGCCGAGGTGTGTGTGGGTGTGTGTGTGTGTGTGGTGTGTGTGGGTGTGTGTGTGTGGTGGTGTGTGTGTGTGTGTGTGTGTGATGAACAGATCACACAAAAACTCACAGACAGTCACTATGGCTAGTGCTTTCTCAGAGCGCAGTACTTATTTTGGATTGTTTTTGATGATTAAATTATCACAATAAATTACAACAGTTGAAAGTATTAGCAGAAGTGTAAGAGTAAAATCAACAGATCAAGGTTATTTTATTTTTTCAAATACATTACTGTCAGTTTAGGGGGAAAAAATAAATTGTGGCAGGGGAGTGGTCTCAATAGATTGAATGCTTACAATCTAGCAGTATTTGAATCATTTAATTAATGAAAGAAGGTTCAAGGTTCAAGGTAATTAAACTTACTTATTTCTGACTTTCTCAGGTGGTCAAACAACCTGAAGTAAAAGTACTTATGGGTACTAGGGACACAATATCTTTGAGTAATTTTGAAATTAAGATGTAGGTAAAGGTGAAAATCTTTTGCCACGAACACACTGAAATCTCTTTAAAATCAGACCATAAATTTGTGTCACAGTAAATTAAAAATCTCATGTTGAATCAAAATGATTTTTTATGTGTTCTGTGAATGAAACACTTTGGATTTACAATTGAAAGTCAGCTGAGATTTTCAATTTCAGACCGTATCTATCTTCTGGACTAGTTAATAAGAGTAGACCCACATAAACAGACTCCAGTGTCACCTTGTTAAAGAGCAATGTGTAACACAACACTCTTCATTTGATTCTTCATGAAACCCCTTTTATCTCATGATTTTATTTTAATTTTTTTTATTGGCTTTTTGCTTTGAAAGACTTAAAAACATGACGGAAGAGACTCTTGAACTTGATGATCAATGACTTTATCTGGACAATAGATTTCTGAATAAAACAGGCTCTTCAGCTCTGAATGTTTTTGATTCTAACGTTTATTCTGCCCTTTCACTATTTAATAAACGCAGAGAGTTGACTGACAGGAGCCCAGACCCTGGACAGGTCACCAGTCTGATACAGGACCAACAGACCATTAGCACCTGCAGCAACTAACATGTCTGTCTTTGGACTTTGGGAAGAAACTTTGTTGCCAGAGACAGTCCACAGAGACACAGGGCGAACACACTGAATGGCTGGGTAAATTCAAAGGCTGGCAGCAGTTTCACTTCATTTAAAACATCTTAAATTATATTGATATTTTATTAGTGACAATATTAGAAAAAAAATGCACCAAGTACATCAAAATTACAACATTAACTCGTTGAAACATTATGTATTATATTCTAGAAAGTTCCCTTTTCTTGGATGTTTTCCACTTTCAAACAGGTGAATGTCAGTTCCCATTCAGGTGCTCCATGGAGACTGACACATCCAGGAACTATTTTCCAAATAACTGCATGGTGTGTCCGTTTGTCAGTGGTTGAATACTTTGTTTTGTAATACACACCCTCACATTACAAAAAATAAAGCAATCAATGAAACTGTACTAAAGAAAGACAAAAAAAGAGACTTAGAGCAATAAAGTGATGAATTTCACAAAATTTAGTTTTTATTCTTTTTCTGTGTTGAGGTTTCACAAAAAGCAATAATGACTGATCATTCAGACATTTTAAACAAGGAAAGAGTCACATTAAAAGTTCAGACAGGCAATCATTCATTCATTCTTTTATTCTCATATTAATGTTTTCAAATCGAGCTGCATTGCTGACTGTCATCATCAGATGCAGATTTAATTTGTTAGTATATTTGTAGATATTCACCTGACAGAGAGACTGCTCTCTTCTGTAAAATTAAACTTACCTCTTTCTTAAATTTGGAGTTGTTTAACAATAATATTAATAATTACTTATTAATAAATAAGCCGTCATTGAAATCAACACACAGAGTCCTGAAACAATAATTTGAATGATTTAGAAACTTTACTGCTTGAGTGACACGTTTAGGTTTGTGGCCCTCATCAGGATCATCATCACCATCATTAGATCTTTTGCTTGGCTCTGTGAATCGTTGAAGGAGCTGAAGTGGTGCCAGAAACTTCAGATCCGTTTCTGCAAGACACAAAACAGAGCCAACATGAGAGCAGAAACTTTGCTTCCACATTTCAAATTCAAAGCTAGAATTTTTCAGCAGCTGAGGTGCAGGTTTCATTCTGTTTAAATAGTTACTCATCGCTTTACAATGAAAAAAAAAAAACAAAACAAAAAAAGTGGGTCATAATCATTTCAGAGGTTTAAGTGTTTTTCCTGATGTGTGTCCTTTCCAACAAGATGTTCTGTGACGTTCTGCAATTTTGTGGGTGGGGACAAAGTACCTCACTGCCCAAATCATCATGGCGTAAGGTGTTACGCCATGATCATTAGTAGTTAGTAGTTAGTAGAGTAATGAGCTGTGTTGCTCCTCGATTTAGTTTCCTCTCGAGAAAAATGACCACAATGATTCTCTTCTGGTCTCTCATGGGTTTCTGCGCTGAGATTTCTGCAGAGGGTAAGCTCAACATTTAAATTCAGCTATTCTGTTTTAAAAATTACAAATGGCACAGAGGATAACTGTGCTAATAATTATTATCACAGAAAATGAACATTAAATCACACAATACCTTAAAATGTGCCCTTTTCTTGGGCTTTATTCAAATTATATATTTAGCCACAACAAAAGGGGGAGAAAGAAAGGAGAAAAAAAAGGTTGAATTCGTGCTTATGTCTCTAAAGTGAGCCACGAAAGCACGATTTAAAATCACACTAAAACTGACAACAAAAAACTGATTAAAAAAAATATCATCCTTCCTTTTCTTGGACTTGATTCCATTCGAAGTGATTTGTAAAGAGTGCCTGATAAATCACTTCGAATGGCTAGGCACACCTAGTTTCGATGAAACTAGGTGTGCCTGCCAGATATTCTTGGACTTTATTCCGCTTAGACTATAAAACAGCTGAACGTGAGCTGACATTCAAGCAAGCCTTTCAAACGGAGACATCGTCAAACTGGTTTTCAAAGAAGCCAGTGCGTGTGTGCGTGCCAGGGTTTACCAGTGTTTGAATGCTTCTCGTTACCCTTCACACCAACACACGCCCTGTTCTCACATTCTTTCTGTAACTAAACCTTTTGAGATTATCAAATTCAACGCAAAAGAAGCCTCGCAACGCTGTGTCCACAAACACAAAAAACGTGAGAAAGTGTCCAAAAATATAGAAATTTAAAGTTCTCTCAAGACAACAATGGAACGAAAACAAGAACCAAAATCCTGTTTATGTTCGTGGTGCGAGCTCACAAACGGCCAAATATGTCTAAAATAATCTTGAAAATCATTCCTAAATAAAATGGTAAACAAAGAGAACCGAACAAACTCGGTGTGGAAACTGTTTGAAAGGAAAATACAGTTTAAAAATCTCAAAAAAGTGCATAAAATAAAACAAGTGCGTGTAAGAGGCTCACAGTCAGGAGAGTATGTGTATAAATAGTCCCTGCTTACCGTCACAAGCTGAAGCTTAACGTTCTTATATCCACACTTCTGTCTAGAAACGTCGATAACGCTAAAACACAGTTCCACAGTTCCATATATATAGCAGGAGAATATACGCCCCCGCGACGACCCGACCGATAAACTTTTCTACAGTCATTTGTTGCTAAGCGTAGTGTGAAAATGCCCCGCCCACGAGTTAAAGCCCCGCCCATGATTAGTGAGCGCAGGCGCGTAGATGCCTATGTGCCTCGGCGCCGGAGTTTATAGGTCTTTATTCTACAGTCATTTTGAGCAACGATCTGAACAGGTCGACGGCAGAGCCCGTTCAAACCTGATTAACACAGGCGGGTGTGGCTCTGTGTGTTGGAGATAGACTTGTGGTCTGTCCGGGGTGTACCCTGCCTCTCACCCTACAGAGTTGGGGTAGACAACCACCAAAAAACCTTGGATGTGTGTTTTATGTGAACAGAGTGATCTGTAATAGAGTCAAATCTGAGGTTTTAAGCAGATTTTGAAATGACATGTTAATGCATCAGCTGTTTTATCACTCATTCTCTCTTTATACAACTTTTACATCAGTGATAGTTAAAGCTGAGAACTTTTTGAAGCATAAATATTTCCTGTATAGTTGTGGCCAAATGTTTTGGCGGTGGTACAAATGTAGTTTTTCTTGATATTTGTATTGTTTTTTGTTTTTACATTTCTTGGATAAAGTGAAGAACAACCACAGGGATTTTATCACTGTGAGATACTTGTATTGGCAAATAAATACAGATTTTGTTTAATTTTTGGCACTGGCCAGATGGCACTCTCCAAACTACCAACTAAACCTGACACAAACAAGTACAACTGAGTAATGATGCTCAGTGGGGTGACAGGAACTGAATGTAAAGGTTTCAGTGGTTATCAAGCTCTAGGGGAGGCCATTTAACTGCACTGAGTGAAATGTTGCAATTTTAAAGAGGGAAAACAATTCACCCTAACATGATTTAAACAGAAGTTGAGCACAGAACAGCCAAAACCATAATCAGGATTATTTTGGTCAGTATTACTAAACATTATACAGTTAGTGAACTTTGGAAGTCGACCGTAGACCTTTAACCTCTCTGTTCTGTGTTGTTTCCACTTTCAGGTCAGAAAAACATCACAGCTGAATCTGGACAGAAGAACATCACTCTTCTATGCCGAGCTCCAAACAACAGACATCCTCATATGACTGTAGAGTGGAGCAGACTTGACCTGGGGGATCAATATGTGCTTTTGTATCGAGACGGTCACTTTAATTCACACAACCAGCATCCATCTTTTAAGAACCGGGTGGATCTGCAGGACAGACAGATGAAGGATGGAGACGTGTCTTTGATTCTGAAGAATGTGACGATTAATGATGCAGGAACATACGAGTGTCGTGTCAAGCCAGAAACAAACCGGAGAAAGAGAGCTAATCTCAGTGGTGACCCCATCAGCATCATCTACCTTCATGTTGATCCTCCAGGTGAGTGAGTAGAGTTGAGTGTGTGTGTGATCAGAGGTGAAGCTGCTTCCTGGTTGTTGATGTTTGTTTCTAAAGATGTTGTTGATGAGACTTTGTAGAAAGCAGCTGGTCTGAGTGATGTGATCAGAGTGCAGTAGATAATGTCTGACAGCAGTTTGAAGAGGAAATGGATTCTGTTCTGTTCTTCACTCATCACCTACCTGACAGCTGACACCTCACACCTGTTTCTCACCTGCAGGTCAGACAGGAGGAGCCACAGAGGATGGATCTGTTGGACTGATCGTCGGTCTGACTGTTTTTGTGGTGCTTCTTGTTGCTGCCGTTGTTGTTTTTTTGGTCTACATAATACATAAACAAAACAGTCAGGATTCACATCATCCCCCTGCTGAAGCAAAGACCGAAATGTCTGAGAGCTTTCTGAACTCTGAATCTCCTGCTGCTGAACAAAGAGACAGATATGACCTGGAAGCAAACAACTGTCACCAACACCCCACAATGATCCCTGATGTCACTCTGACACCCAACCCTCCAGGCTGTCATATCGTAAAGTTTGCAGATGACACAGCTGTGGTGGGATGCATCACAAACAATGATGAGACCGGCTACAGGAAGGAGGTGGAACTCTTGGAGGACTGGTGCAAGCAAAACAATCTCTGCTTAAATGAGAAGAAGACGAAGGAGATGATTGTGGACTTCAGGAGGGGAAGACACGCGCACACACCCCTGCACTTCGGATGATCTGCAGTCAAAGTAGTACCCAGCTACAAGTACCTTGGTACGTACCTGGATGGCAACCTCACCTGGAAAAATAACACTTCCAGCCTGATCAGGAAAGCTCACCAGAGGCTCTACTTCCTGAGGAGGCTGAGGCATGCGGGACTGAGGAGCTCAGTCCTCATCTCCTTTTACAGCAGTGCGGTGGAGAGTGTTCTGTGCTCTGGCATCAATGTGTGGCACGGAAACTGCACCGTGGCAGAGAGGAAAGCTCTACAGAGGGTGGTGAAGGCTGCTCAGAGAGTGGACGGAGGCAGCCTCCCAACCGTCACATACATATACACCTCCAGATGCAGAAAGAGGGCCACCTGTATCATGAAGGACCCCACTCACCCAGCACACACACTCTTTGTCCCGCTCCCCTCAGGCAGGAGGCTGAGGAGCATTAAATGCAAACCCACCACTTCTCAATGCATAAATGGACAAGAACTGATATTGTAGCACCTCAACCATTATTGACACTTATTATCACTTTATCAATGCAGGTCACCATGCCCTTTGCTGCTAAAGTCTTTCTTTACACCCATATTTATACCTACACTCTAAACCCATACTCCATACTGGTACTCAGGTTGTTACACTCTACTTCTAGTATTATTTATTGTATTGTTTTATTACTTGTCATTTCTGTTTGTTCAAAAAAAAAAAAAACCCCAAAAAACCCCCAACTATTTAGGAGCATTAAATGCAACACCACCAGACTGAGAAGCAGCTTCATTCCAGAAGCTGTGAGACTTCTCAATGCATAAATGGACAACAACTGTTATTGTAGCACCTTAAATTCACTATGGACACTTACAGACACTGTCACTTTAGCAGCAAAGGGCATCAGGTTGTTGCACTCCACTTGTCGTATAATTTTATTACTTGTATATCTGTTTTGTTTAAAAAACACACACACAACTATTTATTCATAAAAATAAATAAATTAAAAAAAATCCTCATTATTCTGTTTCTTTTTGCTCCGGGACATAATGTACATAATTTTGTTCCACCTCATGTTAAGATGTGATGCGAATGACCATAAAGCTTGAATCCTTGAATTAGAGCATAGAACACTCTGCTGTGTCCAACACTGATCACCTGTTGTAATTAAGTGACTGTGTTGTTTTATCTGGACCCAGTGTGACCATGAGCATCATGTTTGATCTCACATTAACTCATATACTAAGGTCATAACAAACACTTTGTGACAGTTTCATATAAAGTATGGAAACATAAATATTTTTAAAATATTTAGATCTTTATCCATACTTCAGATTTCCTTTTTAAAAAAATCTGATTATTATTATTTTTACATTTGCTTATGATCACAAGCTACCCCATAAAGTTACAATGAAAATGTTCGCTGAGGTCACAGATGCAACCATATGAAGACATAAATAAATACACAAAACAAATTAATACACCACAGGGCTGAGGTGGTTTGCACTTTGTTTTTCTTGCATGTCCTGTGGTCAACAACTCATCATTGTATCACCAGGACAGTGCTCAGCTCCCTACACCTTCATTGATTTCTATACAATCATGGATCGTCTTCTGCTGGTCATTAGCTGGGTCAGACTGTGAAGTTCAGGTCTGCCTTGCCTTCACCACTGCTGTATGTGTGTAAAATCTCCTATTAAGCAGTAAACAAATTAACTAGTGATTCTGACCTCTGTAGATTTAATAATGATACTAAAAAATAAGACATCACACTCACCCTGAGCCTTACCACGGATGGCTTTTTTATTACTAAATCGATTTGTTATTTCGCTAACAAATCAATTTTTCACCATTTTAACAAACTGACATTTGAAGAGAAATCATACTCCTCATCTCCTGATGAAGATCCATTCAGAGACTTCTCAGAGGTTCTGCTTTCAGTTGCATTATTTCTCTGAGCTGCTGAGCACTACAAAAACTGGACCTTTAGTGTCAGAGTCTAAAACTGACAAGTTAAAATTCTTCTAAACATCTAGATCATCAACACTTTGTCATCGAGATGTTGACTGTGTGTGAGAGACCCCTTGTGGTGAGAAAACGCAATTGCGATATCGGGCACATGGTCCAGAGCACAGACCATGTGCCTCTTGCTAACATTTAGTAAGAGGCACCTTGCAAACTCACTCAACAGTGGACTTCTAGGCGTGGTGGGAGTTGTGTGTGTCACTAAAGAACTGTGAGTAGACATTGATAGGAGAGGACAGCCCTGTGCCTTTTATTTCATATAGGGAATCGGCTTGTGTAGAATTGCAATGTTCATTAATCTGCTCACTATGTGGTGCGTGCTGCTAAGGCTAGCTGTTATGCTACACACTTGTAAGCTGTGAGCTAAAGTGATATTTGTGTTCTGTGATTTGTCATTATTGGGTGTATTTAAAATTAATAAAAGCCACTGTTTGGTTTGTTGAATAGTGTAGGAAACTTCCATGCAAAGATGATCATATAGGAATTTTCATTTGTATTTCTGGTTATACTGGAAGACAGTTAATGAAGCATAATTCATGACTCAGCCCTTTGTACATGTTTTGTTTACAGACCATACACACCCTCCCATCCCTACCAGTTCTTGTATGCCAAACCTGTAAGCCTGTGGTTGTATTACTGTGCTGTTGTGTTAAATAAGGAATAACTAACTTAACTTGCTAATAGGGGGTCATATGATTTTGGGTTTTTTCTCTGTATGTAATATTGTCTTGTCTAGCTTACAAAGCATATAGTATATAAAGCATACAGTTAGGGCTGGATCTTATGAGAAAATACTACTTTGACAATGATCTCTTTGAACTTAAAGTATATGCATATGAAGTTAACAAATATAATTAGCAGAATATCTCAAACTAAAAGCAGCACTGAGTGTCAAGAAACATAGCAAAGAATACAGTTATATTTAATTATTTATCTGAATACACCAATAACAAAATAACGATCAAACACTAAACATCAATTCCTATTTTGCATTAGATGACAACTCATCATGAGCTTTATAAACTATTGTTCAAATAATTTTAACAAAATACTGGGAATTCTGACTAAAATAGTTCAAGTGAAGCAAATCAAAAAATGACTGGTTTTGCTCACTGCATACAGTATATAATTATATCACATATCTTTAGATATATAAAAGGTATATATACCGGTATGTATATTCTGAGATATTTTGCAAATCCACACTCTTCATACATATATGAATGATTTCTTTTACATGTAGTCATAAAATAAATGAAGAAAATCTACACTGTAAGGAAGCACCGTTCCCCTGCTGTAAAATCTCTGCTAACATGTTTCCTGATATGTATTTATTTGTTTATTTGCTCAAGCTGATTACCTGCCATGGAACCGAACAAATTTAAGGAATGACATTATGGATCTACCAATCTTTGCGATAAAGCCTACCACTGTAAACAGTGTGTCTAAGGTATAGATGTGAGTCAGGCCCAGAGATTTAAGAGACTTAAGCTCATTTGGAATATCAAAGGAGGGGTTGCTGATGAGTTGGAGGCACTTCAGAGGGTCTCTAGAGAGGAGTGCATGCAGTGATTCCATTGAAAACATCTTCAATGGCACAGAGTGCACCAATGAAACCAGTGCATAGACTGTGGTCTTTTCCACTTTTATTTTCCCACCCACATCTCTGGCCTTTACCACTTTCTTTATGGCTTCTGTAATGTGTTCCTTAAATGACACCAACACTCTGTATCTGGCCATGAATTGTTCGTCAAGTCTTGTGAGTGAATCTCTGTTGTCTTTGTTAATGTGCTGTTTTGAAAACCTGTGAGTGACTTCAAGTTGGTCACAGTGAAGCTGAACAGACTTGAGTACATTTTGCAAATCTTCTAGAGCTCGATTGATGCAGTCTGGACTCTGACTCCTGTCTTGCTGCTTCAAAGATGTAAAAGCACGGTTGTAATATGCAATAGCTCCCCAACAGTGATCCTTCTGAATGGCTTTAGTGTACATGTTGATGCTCTCTGTAAACTTCCTGTTTTCACGCAGGTCATTACCAAAGCTAATGTAGTGGTAGAGGTTTGATGATGGTGATTCTCTCTGTCTGAGTTTCTGCCTCACAGTATCCAGATCTGTTTTCAGTCTACTTTTTAACTCTTCAGTAGAGTCTTTTGCACTGAAGCTTGTGAGTAGCCACATACCCCAAAACTCATTCAGAGCAGATAAATCTGAAGCTTCTGGCTTGTTGTTGCTAGTTTTGTACACGACATCTAGTACATCCAGATAATCATTGAAGAGCTCTTCCTTCTTCTTCATGAATGGAATCTGAGACTCCAAGTAGCTTGATAGTTCATTAGCCACCGAGCTCTCTCTGAACTCTTTAACTATGTTTATTTCCGTCTGTGACTTTTTAGTCAAAGTATCCTTCAGTGTTGAAGACATTTCTGCAGATGCTTTATTACTGTTCCTTTGCTGATATGTCCTTAACTGCATTGCAAACAGATGTTGTTTAAGCGGAGTTACATCTGTTAGATTTCTATATAAAGAGTGAAGTTTCCTTGTTAAAAGCAGTAACTGAATTGGCTCTGCCAGATGACTCAAACAGACAATGAGCTGAGCAGATCCTGGAGATCCTTGTCTGGCAGTTCGGCCAAATGCCTGCGCCTCTACACGAGCATTCTTGGGCAGGAAGGTCTGCACAACAAACAAACCTCCAGCTTCCTTTACTGTGTCAGAAACTTGAAGGTCTGTTCCACGGCCAGCGAGGTTTGTTGCTATGATGACTCTTCCTGCTTCAAGTTCCTTAGAAATGACCAGACTGTTGTCCATGTTGTTGTTTACATAAAGTTTTTTGTTCTGGACTCTGTCTCCTAGACTGCGATGAATCATCTTTGCTCCTTTGATGGTCTCACAGATGATGAGTACAGCTCTAGGATCCCTGTATGATGTAGGTCTGGTTTGTACAATGACAACATCACAGATTTTTTTAATCCATTCTTTTTCATCTCCTACAACAACACCTTCAACCTCAAACAGCTTTCTACGTTTGAATGAAGGTATCTGACAGGTTTTGATACCGTCATAAATCTTTTGCAAAGTCTCAGTCTCCTTTTCTTGACCAAGAGTTCCAGACATCCCGTAGATCTGACTTCCAAACTGGTTTTTATACTTTTGAAGCAATCCCACATTAGACATGTAGTTTGTGATGGCTGTCATGTCACTCATCTTTGACTCATGTTTCATTTCAATAAACTGTTGCAGTCCATCTGACCACTTCATGTTGTTTTCAACAACCCCTGTGCAGCTGTAGTCCACAGGCACGATTCCATGTTTCTCCATCACATATTCATGGTCCTCTGTCATGAGTTGAGCTTTAAATGCATTTTCAATCCAGACTTTTAGTTTAGATTTGACCAGCTCTGAAAAGAAGCCTGGGATGTAGCAGCTGCTTTTAGCTTGGTTCAGTTCACATGGTGTAAAATGAATTGATCTCTTTACTTCCTCTTCTACAGCTCTCACCACACTGTCGTGATCAGAGTACATGTACTGACAGAAGCCACCATCAAGTAAAAGCAGTGACACTCTTCTGCTTTCCACATTTTCACTCTGCAGCTCTTTCTTGAGTTCCTCTATTTCATTGTTATTTATGAGGTGGAGAGCAAACTGGGAAGATGGAAATTTCCTTTCCATCATTTTAAAGAACTCAGCCAGCTGGTCAGCAGTCGCACTTTTAGTCATTTCATTTAAGAGACTCGGGTTCTTTCTCAGGTCCTTGACTGATCCCTTTAACAGTATACCTGTGTCCTCTGCTATCTGGCGAATGATGAGCTCATCACCATCTTTGCTCATCACGTTTTCCAGCACTTGATAAAAAGGATATTTTGGCCCTACTGTTGTATATGTGCCAGTTTTCTTGTACTGATTAACAGTGGCCCATATACATGCCAAGAGTGGGTTGAGATGCTGTAAAGCAGGCATGTTACTGCTTAAATAGACTACATGATGACCCTTGTCCAGCATCAGGGAATCCACTTCATCCACTACTGCACACTGGAATTTCCTCTGCCCTAATATGTCCAACCTTTGGAAGTGGTGCCGAAGCCAGTCACCAGCAAAGTCTTCTGCAGTGCCGTAAACAACTTGACACTCATAGCACTTTTTTAGTTCATTTCCTGTTCTTTTGCAGTTATAATTTGAAGTGATATTCAACTCTTTATAAAATCCTTTCCATTCTTTACAATCTCTCTCTGCAAGAACTGATGAACTTGACATGATGTCGACTTTTTCTCCTCTCAGAGCTCGAAAAGCTGCAAACATGGCCACGATGCAAGACTTCCCCTCTCCTGTGCCAACCTGAATCAATCGCCCTGTTTCTGAAAGAGCCATCAGACACCAGCTCACCATCTGTGTCAGTCGTGGCCGAAATGGCTTTTTGGTATCTTTAATTTTTGTTTTTTCCACTGCCAAACAGAGATCCTTTAAGATGGTTTTCAGGTCACTCTTCTGTGAGCCGTCCTCAGGAATATCACGCCCTTCATGAACTGTTGATACAATATCTCTGACATCATTTAAAATGTTTTCATCAATCTGGTTCAACTTTTCTTGGCGGATTTCATCAATGATTTTGTCCAGAGTCTTCTCTCTGTCATTGGCTAAATATTCCTTCAAGGTTTCATCTGTTACAGTTTTTTCTTTGACTAGTTCCAGAAGTGTTTTTCCATCTTCATTTTTCCAGTCTGAAGTAATAAAGTGAATCTCTATGCAGTGCAACATTTTTACCATCCATGTGAGGAGATGTGATTTGTCACTTACTGATGACTCAAATCTCTTCAAAAGAGCATCAAACAAGTCAGCGACCTCCTTTGGGCTCCATTTGATATTTGTAACCAGTCCTTTCAGCTTCTTGAGGAGAATTTCTTCATCATCATCCATTTTCTTAATCAGATAAGAAAAATCTGTTCAAAGCAGATTTAAACATTATTTAGAGATTGGTTCTTTGAGTAAGACACAATTTATAAAGATTTCCAAGCAAGCTGCATTTTTTCTCTCCACTGTATTGTTACACTGACAAACACCATCTAACAATATTTGAAAATTGCTTTGTTTCAGTTTCGCTTTTACCAACCTTCTACAGGCACCACTACAAGGGGATTTCCTGCCATGCCTTTACTGTATCTTACTTTTCTTACTTTAAATGAATTTCAATATTCTGGTTAAAATAGAGTAAAAATATTTTTATATTCTTTCTTTGAAGTAAGGCACAATTTATACAAATTTTCAAGCACACTGTATGCAGTGTGCAGTGCACACTACACTACTCAGTATTATTAGACTAACATCCACAATCTAACATATATATTGTAAGTGTTTCATATTTCATGCAATTAAGTTTTAGTTTGACACCAACCTGTTAAGTGACGAGAAAGATCGCAGACGATTTATCTCTTACTGAAGCACCTCAAGAGATCTGCTGGCTCTGGATTTCACCCTGTGTTTTTATTCCTTTGTTTCAGTTTCTCTTTCACTAACCCTGGACAGGCACCGCTACAAGGGGATTTCCTTCTATGCCTTTTACTGTACTTTGGGTTTCTTACTTTGAAGAAGTTGTTTTAATATGGTACTAAAGAGCAGATCAACAGGAATCAAAAATAATTTCAAAAGTAAATTAATTCTTTGTTAAATATATATATACTCGGCATTTCTACAGACTAGATGACTGAATTTCTGCCATCATCCATACGTGTTAACTGTAAGTTAGCATGTTCAGCATATGCAAATATAAAGTAATGACTGCCCTGTGTGTACCAGTCTCACTTAGTTGTTAAATCAGACACGGACCTCCAGAGGGCACCAAAGCCCTTTTTTATTTAAATCTATGTCATCAAACGGTTTGCATGAGTTTCATTAGAGAGAGAAAAATTGAAATTCCCCTGAGTTAAACTAGGTTAGACTCCAACCTTCAGTTTGATCATTTTAATCATCTTTTTCACCGAGTAACATTCAGAGTTCACCTTTAAGTTTACCAGACTGTAGAAAACAGCAGGCCTGACTGATAGTGACTCGTTGTAAACTGCGGGATGGCAAATCTCCTTTTCTTTTCCAAAGGATCCTCAACTGTATCCTCTGATAAAGGAGGCAATAAAGGAGGCCCTTAAAGATCTAGCATTTAGAGAAATCAGCCAGCTCTGACAGAAACTTCAGGCAAACTGACTGTGAAACATGAGACACCACTGGGAACAGACTTGTTAACAAACATTTGCATTCAGAGCAGCCTAATATACAAAGCAGTGTGAACCAACAACACAGTGTGTGTGCACAGTGTTGTTGGTTCAAACTGGCTGCAGAGTCACTCCCTGTGCATCACCAGTGGAAAAATACTGAGAACAGTACAGTATGTTACACACCTCAGATTTCTGTGTTAGATTCCAGATGTTAGGTCAGCTTTGGTGTTCCACTGTCACACTGTAGTTCTAGTTTTAGTCATATAAATAAATATAAAACAGTCGGGAAAACATCCATCCCCCATACAGAGGTGTTAATACCCACTTAAACCATGTTTACCTAGTAACTTTGGTCAGTTAACCAGAAAATTAAAACACGTAACAAAGTAGAATTTTTATATACATTTCTTATATATTTATGTTACACAAAATCAATCAAACAAGAAAACAACAAAAAAAATATCATTTACATTATATTATATTAAACAAAGTATGCTGAAGAAGGAGACCACCGAGTAGATTTCTGGATGTAGTGAAGGAGATGCTGAGTGTTGGTGCGACTGGAGACGATGTCGGGTAAAGTGCAGGCAGATGATCCTCTGCGGTGACTCCTACAGGTAGAAGCTGAAAGCACAAGAGGAAAAGTCGCTCCTCTGCGACATTTGTGAGATAAAGATGGCGAACCAAAGGCTGGAGAGGAGGAGGAGCGAACATGCCTGGAAGTGTATCACTGTTCATTCTGCTGTGCGTCTGTGTCGGAGCTGCTGCCGCTGAAGGTGAGCTCTGGATTTTTCCACTCTGACAAATGCTTATAAACAGCTCGAAATCAACAAAAAATGCAAGTAAAAAACTAAAATCAGATTAAAGAAGACTTTTAGTTTACCAAACTTTCATAATGTAGCAAACATGTTTTTGGTGGTTAGGATTTATAGGGCTGCGACACAGTTTGGTGAAAGTTTGGGAAATAGTCACAAGTATAGATTGTTGTGATTCTTGTTCCTTCTGGAAACAAGATTCTTTTTTAACTTCTTTTCTTCCTGTTTTTTGACATAAATGTGCTGCCAGAATCTTTGTTTCTCTAAAGACGATCGTCATCTAACCGGTTTCACGTTGAACTGTACAGGAAATCAACGATTTCTTCTTTTAAACACTGAACTTTTTTGTTCATTTCTTAGCTGGAGGGGGTCGGTGTTGGAAAGCATTCAGCGCCCAATTTTGACACTTGGTTAAAAACAGTATTACCGATAATTTCTTGGTTAAGTTTCAAAGATAATCGTGGTAAAAACGTATAATAGTTGAACAGAAGTAAACTGAGCAGAGAAGCCGCTCAATTACAGCAAGTTATAATCATAATTATTTTGGTGAATACTGTAATTGTGATTATTTAACGTCTAACACAACTGACACGTCAGCACTCAGTTGAGTCTGTTCTTCTACTGCGCATATGCAAAGTGACGTTAAATGGGAGGGGCGGTGGGGATTTCAACTAAGGATTTTTTCATTGCCTTTTGTCTCTGACGTTTGTGAACTCGCTGCTCTGTGTTGTTTCTTCTGTCAGGCCAGAAAACCATCACAGCTGACACTGGACAGAGCACCACTTTATCATGCCAAGCTCCAAACAGCAGCATCATAGTGATAGAGTGGAGCAGAGCTGACCTGGGAGACGAATATGTCTTTTTGTACCGAGATGACCGGAGTCTTAATGACAGCCAGCATCCATCTTTTAAGAACCGGGTGGATCTGCAGGACAGACAGATGAAGGATGGAAACGTGTCTTTGAATCTGAAGAATGTGACGATTAATGACACTGGAACGTACGAGTGTCGTGTCTTCATGGAAAAAACACGCTCATGGATATCTGTCTGCAATATCACACTGAGTCTTGATCCTCCAGGTGAGTGAGTAGAGTTGAGTGTGTGTGTGATCAGAGGTGAAGCTGCTTCCTGGTTGTTGATGTTTGTTTCTAAATATGTTGTTGATGAGACTTTGTAGAAAGCAGCTGGTGCGTATGTCTGACACCTGTTTATAACCTACAGGGCAGCCGGGAGGTGACGAGGAGGATGGAGAGAAGAAGGGACAAAGAAGT